CATTCTTTGAGTCAGTCTTAAAACAACATGTCATTCCTTTAGTATGCGCCACACAAAAACATCCCTTCCTAAAGTGTTTATAATGTAAGCAATGTTACAAAGTCCTCGTCTTATCATCGTCCCTCCACTGCAGTCAAAATAGCAAAATATAGATTTCTTCTAGTTAAAAGGGAGTTTTTACTCCTGACTGTCACCATGTGATCGTGTCTAGCAAATTGTCAGATCTAAACCTGTGAGATCTAAACTGATTTGAGACGCACAGCACAAGGACTGATTCTGTACTCATATTCAAAAACAACAGAATGTGATCTTTTAATGGGCAGCATGAACACGAGGGATGAGTTTTAATGGTCACATGAGTTTTAAGACCTGATCTTTAAGAACAAACATGTACACCTTCCTGCATGAGGCCGACTGGGACATTATAAATGCATTCACGAATGACACATAAATAAAATTTACTAAACTAAAAAAAAAAAAAAACAATGAAAACTTCATGTGTTGATCTTTTCATAACATCTACAAAATCTAAAACAACATACAGTTTGGCAAGGTGCTGACGTTTCGGTCTGCTGTAGCTCTTCTTCTGTGTGTAAAGATGCTCTCTGGTCTCGGTCCCAGTGCTCCTGATGGGATTTCACGTTCCTTTTGTGACCGGGGGTCATGTCCCGTCCTGGACAGGAGAGGGGTTTCTCTCCTGTGTTATTGCACTGATGTACAGTCACGTTTCCTGATGCCTTCCCACATTTGTAGGAAATCTGCGGTTTCTCATCTGAGCTCGCGAGCTTGTGTCTCTGCAGGCTCTCTGTGTCAGGGCAAGGCTTCTCAAACCGTTTCTCCGCTGCACATCTTCTCTGGGGTTTCTTCACGCCATATGAAGCAGAGCTCTCCACGCCACTCGCTTTCTGGTGGGGAAGGCAGGCGTCTACAGAAGCATCCTCTTTTTCTCTCTCTGAGCTGAGGCTCTCATCTGTGTTTAATATATAAAAATAAAAAGTGAAAAATCACCAAGAGCAACGATGTGTGTATCATGTAGTGAAGAGAAGCTATAATTCAAGATTCTCCACTCACTATTCTCACTCACAGTCCAGCCATCCTCTTCCTCTTTGATGATTACTCGGATCTCTGGAATCTCACAGGTGTAGTCGGGGCTTCCCGGTGCTTTTTTGGGGGAAGACTGGTCACTGCAGTTTTCATTCAGACTCAGTGATAAAGGACCTTGAAGTTCAGGATCCTATTAAGATATCAAATAGAAGGAAAAACAGGTCATCTACTCTACAACAGCTCAAGTTCCACACAAGAAAAAAGAGCTGCTATATAAAGCCATCAGAAGCTACTGTTTATTTTTATATTTACAATAACTTAATCATTTTGAATACTTTTACTTGACATAATACAGCAGTTAAACATCCATTTTGGTCAATTATAAAACAGATAACAACTTTATACTTTCATCAATAAAGTGCAACTTGTATATTTTGTAATATCCATCCATTCGCTTATCCTTTTCAGGGTCGTGGGGGGCGCTGGAGCCTATCCCAGCTGTCATAGGGCGAGAAGCAGGGCACACCCTGACAGGTCGCCAGTCTGTCGCAGGGCTAAGACACAGAAACAGACAACCATTCGCACTCACATTCTATAGGCAATTTGGATTAATGAATTAACCTATCCCCACAAGCTGCATGTCTTTGGACGGTGGGAGGAAGCCGGAGTACCCGGAGGGAACCCACGCAAACACGGGGAGAACATGCAAACTCCACACAGAAAGACCCCGGCCTGATGTTGGAATTGAACTCAGGACCTTCTTGCTGTGCAGCAACAGTGCTAACCACCGTGCTGCCCCATTTTGTAACAGGCCCTACAATACAAACATAAGAAGAGAGAGGGATGACACTCAAACAAACCTAGATTAAAAAGTCAGCGAACATTTTGAGCAGCTTTTATCAAATTTCATAGTTGACCTTATATCTGCTTTTATGGCTAACTGACCACTGAAATGAGGTTAATTTAATTTAGGTAATGCTTCAAAATATCTGCCCAAATAGATACCCAGAAGCATTTGAAGATGACTGTAATGTAAGTGATATTGCATTTTGTCAAGTGATTACATAATATGGCGTTACATCCTAGACTCGAGAGTTCAGGTTAAACAAGTAAAACTACTTAGATTAATGACGGCAAGAATAAAGAAAACTCTTGCCACTCTTACAACATGGATGCATCTAATTTAATACGCCATACGCCAGTTTTAGCAAATTTACACTGGTTCCCTGTAAAATATTGTATTGATTTTAAGATTCTTTTACTTACTTTTAAAGTTTTAAATAATATGGCGCCTAGTTATTTAAACGAACTCCTCAACATGTATGACCCCAAAAGAGCACTGAGATCATCTAGCCAGTTGCTCTTAGCACAACCAAGGTCTCGATTGAAGCATAGAGGAGATCAGGCCTTCGCAGTAGCAGCACCCAGACTCTGGAATAATCTGCTAGAGGAGATTCGTACTTCAGAGTCTATTCCATAGGTGTCAAACTCTGGCCCACGGGAAGCCATATCAAATTACTATTAGAGCTGGTCTACTGGTATTATACAGCTAATATATATATTGTTTAGTATTAAGCTTTGCTTGTTCCATATTCAGTTTTTCAGCAAAACTTATTTGAGTCCATAAGAAAAGATTCATTCTTATATCTAGAGGAAGATTTTTTTTTTTCAATAAATATTAATGTTAGCCCGCGACTTTGTTCCAGTTTTGAATTTTGGCCCACTGTGTATTTGAGTTTGACACCCCTGGTCTATTCAGTCATTTAAAACGCATCTTAAAACTCACTTTTTTTGTTTGGCTTTTAATTCGAGTTCAGTATGAGTACCATCAGGCCTGTTTTATGTTTTTATTGTTAATTCACTGTCTTCTTATTTATCTGTATTTGTTTCTAATTTATCTGTATTTGTTTCTCTATTGTTTTCTCTTGTTTTTAACCGATTGTGAAACACTTTGGTCAACTCTGTTGTTTTTAAATGTGCTATACAAATAAATTTTGTATTGAATTGAATAAACATCTGATATAATATTTTCTACAGCCCGACTGATTTTTTAAGACCAATACAGAAGCCGATATTTGGTGCTTTTAAAAATCTGATATAAAAGCTGCTTTTTCTGTCAGACAGATGAAACACTGAGATTATATGTTGTGGTTTGTTATTTATGAGTCCTTACTAACATAGCCATCTTGTTTTATTGTTATAACAAGTCGTGGATAACTCGATCTGCTTGGATCAGCTGGCTGCCGTTCCAAACGCGTTACCAACGTGGACGTTTCAGAGTGCCCCCTGGTGGACAAATTATGCAACATCAACAGTAACAACATAACTGAAATATGTCTCTTCTTTAACTTGTATACTTCTCGTTAAGTGCAATACTGATATACTGGTACTAATACTGTATAATGTAAACATTATATAATTGTGCATTAATTATATAATGTTAAGAAACAATACACCTGAGCCACAGGCTGTAACCGCACACATCACGAAAAGGAAATCACCTCAAACATAAACTCTAAAAGTTCACTTTTTGTTTTTTGAAAACAGATGATGAGTACACAGCCTCGATATGACAATGTTAGAGTACATTTAGCAGATATATTATGAAACATGTTAAAACTGGCCTAAAATCAACCAACCATCATCAACGAAACAACCATCTGTGAATCCCACTTAACCCGTTTAACTGGACGTATGAACGACTTCAAGAATCTGCTGTTACAGTTCAACGTAACCCAACTTAAATACTGTATGCTCCAAATATTACCTTTTCCCCCTTCCTTCTCAATTCATTTAGGCTGATGAGGCTAAAAAGTGGACTGCACACACATAATTTCCGACCAACTCACATAAATGTAATGTGGTCTATATTATTCCACCCTGGTAAAATTATAACCTTTCCTACCATAAAGCATTCCTGCAGGATAATGTTAAACTTCTGTTTTAAGTGCTGCAGAATATTTTCTAACACAGTCTGAAACGTGGCCAAAAATTAACCTGGATTTATTCTGATAGTTATATATTAGTGTCCGGGAAAAGAAAAACGCTTTCTCAAGTTTCTAAATTCACAAAAGTAAAAATATTTCTCTTATACAATTGTAAAATGAAAACAATCCATTTCAAGAGATTTAGATTTAGTTTAATAGTTTAGCAGCAAGTTCTGTGTAGACCTTTCTTGTGCTCCAAGAGTCAGCAACCTGAAAAGCCTTTCAAAATAAACTTGTTTTGTCTCGTTTGCTTGCGTTATCCCCTGCAGAAAAATATTCTTGACTATTTCACTTGGACGCTGAATATATGCCTCCACGTCTCCATCAGTCAGTCGCAGTGTATAAGTCATTGTACTATCTTAATGAATGCAGCTCTGCCTTGTTTAATAACAATTACCGTTTGCTAACAAGCTAGCTTTAAAGCTATAATGACATAATTGGTTCTGTGCATTAACGTAAGAAGGTTAACATCAAGTCCACACCGGTGCACTCTCAACTAATACGGTGTCCCTGACCTATGAGGATAACCTGTTTACGACGTGCATTTACCTAACTGGTTAACTACACCAGCTACAGCAAACTGCAGCCAGCTGCACAGTAACAGCCTGAAAGCAGCTGCGCTGTCACGTTACCTCAAACATAGTGCGAGGTCGGAGCCGACTGTGAAGGATGTCATAGGAGAAACAGGGCGAGCTACACACGGGGTTAAGTACAAGCGTTATTCCGGATGGGAGCAGCTGTCATGAACTAACCGTGCACTCTGTGCTAGCTAAACTGTGTTGCGCCACCACTTTTTTCCTTTTTTTTTTTTTAAACAGCGGTTCTTCTTCTACTCCGCCTCCTCTTCTTCTTCGACGCTGAAATTGCTGCTGCTGAATTACTGCCTCCCCGTGATTACAAGGTGTGCATCTCTACAGACAGATGACAAAATTAAATATCCATTTTCTGCCCTCCACTTTTTCAGACATCTTTCCTGTTCTCATTCTTCTTCCGGCTGCTTCCTTTAGGGGTCGCCACAGCGGATCATCTGCCTCCATCTCACCCTATCCCCAGCATCCTCCTCTGTCACATCCGACATACCTCAACCCTTCACTACATCCTTCTTTTTATTCCTCCTGACTGCAGCTCCATCTTCAGCATCCACTATCCCTCCTGTGCGCATGTCCAAACCTTGCCATCCTTGCGTCTCTAACTTTTCCCCCAAACTGCTCAGCCTGAGCTGTCCCTCTGATGTCTAATCCTGCCTATCCTCATCACTCCCAGTAACAATTCGTGCACCTTCAACTCTGCCACCACCAGCTTCACCTACTGCTTTTTTGTCAATGTCTCCAAACCATATATCATAGCAGGTCTCATTACCATCTTAAAAACCTTCCTTTTCACTCTTTCACTTCTGCTCCCTACTCACTATAGATCACAATGTTGTCTGCAAACATCACAGTCTATGGAAACTCCTGCCTGATCTCATCTATCAACCTGTCCATTACCATAAGCAGTCACACTGAAAGTGAAATAGCTATATACAAATATGCATATTTACTACTTTCCTGATAATTTATTACTATTATTTCCTGCTGCACACTTGCAGACTGAAATGTAGCCTGTTGAAATATGTGAGGTAAAATCCTTTCCCTGGTTCACTGACGAACCATATTTCTGAGTGTTTCCAAAAGCTTTGCTACTTGACAATAATATTTTATGACCCCCAATTCCCAAAAAGCTGTGATGCTGGGTCAAATGTAAATAAAAACAGAACGCAAAGATTTGAGAAATCCTATACACCCATATCTTCTTCATCAGAGAACACTGAAAACATTAGCATTTCATTTGTAATCTGATAGCAGACTTTGGGCATGTTGGTGCAAAAACACGTTTATGCCTCTCAAACTACCATCTTTTGTGTTTTTTGTAGTTTTGACTAAAGAAATTGCAACAAATGATGTGTTTTTCGTTTTGCTTTGTTTCTTGCGGTTGCAATACTTCAGCATCTAGCTAGGACTACAGAAGACGAGGAGCATAAAGGGAGTGACTTTTTTTAAGTGTCAGGTGATTTTAAATGCAGTGTTTCTATCAGGTCAATAAACATCAGCAAACATACTAACTGTTTGTGTGCAGCGTGTTGCTAGCTAAAGGTCCAGCTGTATTTCACAGGATATTTCACTCAGAGATGGAGAAAGATAAGAGAAACAGGATAGGAGAGGAAGATAAGAAGTTACATTTAAAGGTAGGGAAATTAAAAACTTAAAGTCCTCATGTGTCTAAACCAGTTACTGGGTCTGTACATAGGACAATGTGCTGCAAAACAAACTGAGGTAGACTAACTGTGATATTTAAAGGCTACATGAAAATCCTCTGCAGGATAAACAGGTTATTTTTTGTACTGTGATGGGTTTAACGTAAAGAACAGTGTCTGTGACTGATGCGCAGTGGTCGTGGTTTCATGGTCAGAGTTAAGTTACATCAAGTGTAGCAGAGTATCATTGATATGAATTTTAAATGATGATGCTGAGATCCGCTGAGATCCACTAACATCTGCTAGACATCTGGTTGAACATCTACAAAGAGGAGCAGATCAGCTGGTCACAGCCTGTACAATAAGAAAATCTACTTGAGCTCTCAATAGAAATGATTGTGATTTGTGATTTTTTTCCCCACACTGAGTCATTACATCCAATTTTAGGGTCCCTCCACCTGCTGAATCCCACTTTAACTCCTCACTGTACACATTTTCCTGTTTAGAAACCAACCTCTACAATGTAGACAACTGAAAATAGAGCTGTATTTTTTTTATTTTCCTTCTTTTTCTTCAGATTCAAGCTGAGTATAATTAGAATTAAAATAAAAGTTAGACTAGAGTTTGTATTCCCATCAACTGGTATTATTTTTATCATTATGCTAATACAGTAGTTCAGCTTTTTTCCGGTAGTAGCTGGAGTAAACTTAAGCATCCATTATTGAAAATGTCTCAGATCTCAAACAAAGTCAGACAAAGTATTCAAATCAGTTCGGAAACTAAAATGAAATAAGACAAATTTTGATGAGAAAAAACTATGGGACAGGAAAAAAGATTATTCACGAGAGACATTGCCTAAAAAAATAAACATGCATTTGCTTCCACACATGATCACAATGTAGAAATAAAACTCTCACAATTGATGACTGAAGTAAAAGCACAAAAAGAAAGTAGTTACTGACTACTCAAAGTAGCAAGTAAAGGCTGTGACTAATTTGAAGTACTTTACGCGATTGGGTTCGAGTTATAAACCTTATTCGTCGTCTGATTATATTCACTATTATTCATATTAACCTGCAAAATACCAGTGTTTCAAGGGAATAGAAGCACATTTATTTCCGGTTACTGTAGTAAAGCAGAAGAGTGAAAGCAGCCTAAAATGAACCGATTACACTGTGCCAGGTACTTTCTGCCACTCTGCCATCAGGATGGTGATTTAGGATAATATAATAACTCACTGTAAATCCGACAGGGTCTCTGTAAAAAGCTAGTGTGTATTTTAATGTTATAATGTGGTGCTGAGGAATAATAAAAATAAGCCTCAGGATCTGATCTGCGCTGAACTGACGCAGGCGTTAAAAAAGTCAGGTCTGCTGGGTGGAGCTATGACTCTACCTAGAAGGAGGACACCGGACCTCTTCCCTTTATAGGTGAGAGCGTGACCGGTGACGACATTGTGAGGTAGGCGGGTGGCAGGTACGCATTCAGGCGCGTGCGTGGTTGTGGTTGCTTGCATGTGGGGGTTTCCACTGCAGGAGGAGGCTGTGAGAGAGCAGAACTGCTCGAGAACTGCTACTGTGTGTGTGTGTGTGGATACGTTGAGTTCTACTCGCGAAATGAGCCTGCAATCTAGTTATTAGCCGGATAGTCATGCCACCCTGCAGTCGGTCACCTGTCAGAGACCAGTCCTGAGGCGAGTAACAACTGTAGGTTAGCCAACTGAACCACACCAGTTAGCAGTTAGTAACTTAGCAATCAGCGCGTACTGTTGAGCTAAGTTAGGCTTACTAGCATGTAAGCCTTGAAGCTAATGATAGCGCAGTTTGGTACTAATAATTGTAGTTAACCTATGTTTACAGATCAGCAGTAACCGATGTGCAACTAGCGCATAGCTAGCAACTAGCTAGCTAATCAGAGAGTGAAGCTAACGTCTAGGGCAGTTAAACTGTACCTGCGTGCTGTCACAGTAAGTGAGCAAACTGTCTGTTTTGTTTATGTATTCAGACTTGGTAATGGTTTACCCTTTGTTATTTGAAAATCAAATAAGTTGAACTGTTTGACCGAGTGCTGTCACGAGCTCCTGTTTGTATACGTAACCAAGTGACTTTTAAGTACTTGTCATATTTAGCTGCCTTTAAGTCAGAAGTCGCGCTTTAATTGCTTGCTGACATCCTATTCCAAGTACCATAGTTTTGAATTCATTTCAATCATAGTTCCTCAGCCATAACTAATTATGGTTATGATGTTTGCTTTTAAATGCTTGCAGTATTACTTTAGATTTCAGATGTGTGGTGATATATTTATTTTTAGCCATTTACTGAGTTTTCAAGTTCACTTTTTTTGCAAGAGTTTAAAAACGTGATATGGAAATGAAACGAAAGCTGTCAAATCCAGTGAAAATGCTAACTACTTTCTGTTTTCAGTTTGTACAGTGTTTTGAGTTTCGAAATGTCATGTCAGAAAAACAGATTCTCGTTTATAAAATATTGGTTTACTGAGCAAAAACATAACTGGTCGCTTTACCCCTTAAATCAAGCAGGAGCAAAGCACAGGGCCTTCCAGTTATGCAGTTTTGAAATGTTAAAAGAACTGTTGTTGGCAAATATATTTGGATTTTAGTGCCGAGGATAGGCTTGGTGGAAGTACTGCTATCTCTTTTTCTTTTTTTTAAAAAAAGTAAACATTTTTCTACGTGAAGCATTTAGAGCATGGGTCTGAAACTTAAATGAGCTGTCACTGTCATCTCATTGGAGGGCCACTTTGGTGCTCAAGTAGTATGAACAAGAAAACACTGACACCTATTTCCAAAAAGTAGTGTTTAATGCAGACATAAGTGTACACATTAGTGTTTGACTGCTAGTGAAAATTGTTTTCTTCTTGTTTTACAAATAACTCTCTCACTGAACTAACACAGCCAATCCAACATGTTTGTACATGTTTATACAACTCAGTCCTCCCTAACAAAAAAACGTAACTTCAAGGGCACAATATATTTCTTGAGTTCGAAACCCCTGATTTACAGCTTGCACCCATATCCTAAAACCTAAAATGTTATATTGTTTCTGATTTTGCTTATTAACCTTGTGTCTCCTTCAGACTTGGATATGTTGCAGCAGATGAAGTTAAATACAGCAGATGACAGTGTGGAGGAATTAATGGATGAGTCTTCTCTCTTATCCGAGTCTTCCAATCCCCCTCAGTTAAAGTCTTCAGCGAGCGGCATCTCAGAAAATGAATTTTCTTGTCACTGTTGCTATGACATCTTGGTCAACCCTACTACCCTGACCTGCGGTCATAACTTCTGTCGGCACTGTCTCGCTCTATGGTGGGAGTCCTCGCAGAAGAATGAGTGCCCAGAGTGCCGGGAGAAGTGGGAAGGCTTTCCTAAAATCAACATACTGCTGAGGTATGCTTCTCATAGCTGTGCCATATCAGTGGGTTAATGTTTGATATTCTGGCTGCTTGATTCACATCTCACAGAGACTTACTGGCGACTTCTACTAAGCTTGCTTAGTTAGCTTTATTAAGAACTGGAAAGTCTGGATGACCAGTAATGATGTGTGCAGTTACACCAGAAGCAGACATTCATTATTGTTTCACCATAACCTCTTATTGAAGAGCAAAGCACAATATACGACTGGGAAGAAACTAGCTGATATGTCATTTAGTAAATCCTAAAAATAAATCGAGTACATTAAGCCCAAAGTTTGATGCTTATTCTTAGTGGTAGAAGATCCCCATTTCAGTTCTGGGACAAGACTCTAATCTTTTTAGGATTATGTTTCATGGAGAAAAAAAAGCTTGGTGATGTTTTCACCACAGCGAGCTCCACATTAGAGGTGAACACTTTTACAATAATATCTGTGATTTGTTTCACTTTCACTCTCGCTCATACAC